AAAATTAAGGTTATCGTATATAAAAGTATGTATAAAAATCTTTGCCTACTGCTGAAATATAGCTACTTCTGTTAACACCTATACAGCAATTTAGGGCAGGAAGTGAAGAATTCTGTTCTTAGTAGACCTACCAGCCACGGTCAATGTAGTGGAAAAACGAGGGGAGAATTTTAAATATTATTTAAGTTAATCAAAACTGTTAGATAAGGAGTTGGATTCCATTTGGAGTTCAGAATGCACTGTTGGTAAAGGAGTTGTTTCACTTGGGGAAGGGGAGCAATTGGTAGAATTGCTGCTGGATGTGTGTATTATCTAATTTTAATATAAATCTTAGAAACAGAATTTGGCACTTAATGAAAGGACATGTTAGCACTCAGTTCTGTAATGTGTTTTAACTGAAAAAACACAAAGGAACAATCAACTTGCATTATTTTTCGAAACCCAACACAAACAACTTTTATCAACAGCACTATTTTGAAATGGTATGTCTCTAAATACAAAAATGAAAAAATAGTTACTTTTTTGCTCACTTGTTCGTTGAGAAAGATCTTTTGGGTGTGCTTGAGAGCAACACTACCAATCTTCTCAGGGCCTATCTTTCATCTTCCCTTTCTTTTGTGCACAGTTTCAGTTTTGCTGCTGCTATCACAGTGTACTAGCAGGGCTTTTATGACTTTTCTGCTTATAATACAGATTGTATTTCAATATTTTATATTTTAAATTGCTTTATGAGGTTTTCTTAATGACATGTGCCAAGTAATGGAGAAGTATGGAGTCAGAGTTGAGATACTAATAGAGATAGGCATATTACTGTTGCCCAAGATGGATAGATTAGCACAAGAATTAGTATCTGAAGATTTCTAGATAATGCATTTTAGTTATTAAAAATGTCCATCTGTCTGGTCAGATTACAGGTCTGAAATACTTGTACATTAGGTTTTTATTCTTTATTAGTGTAACTATGTTCATGAAGTGTGTTTCTGTGTTCACAGAATACTTGAATAATAATTTGCCAGGAAGCTGTGAAATAGATTGCAGAGTGTATGAAAAGGTACAAGCCTGAATAAACAAAGTCAAACCTGATTTAAGTGATTGGGTTTCAAATTTAAGTACAGACAGTCTACTGTAGAGAAGCCTGATTGTATGATACAGAAACTAGTAGGAGGACCTTATGGTAAGAGATACTATGTTAACTTTCAGGCTCCATTTTTGTAGTGCTACATGGTTACATCTGGAATACTGGCAGTATTTCTTATGAAACAAGATTTTCCTCTGTTTTAATGGTTGTTTGACATATCACTTAAGCACTAACGTGAGCAAGCATTATAAAGGAAAATTATAGGCTTATGTAAAAGAATGTCTGCTTATGCCTATAAATAAACATAAATGTTTAGCAGCTACACCCTAACAATTGGACTTTGAGGTCAGGACTGGCTCACAGTGTTTAAAGATCTATAGAACTGTGGTATATATCTGATCAAATTTGCAGAAGTTAAAAAAAAAAAAACCCAAAGTTGGCCAGCAGCCAAGTTTGAGTGAATACAGATGTTGTTCTAAGGGATTTACTGTATGTTGCTGACAACACATGACCAGGATAATCGGGTGTTGTGGACTTTATGGAATGTGGCTGATGGTTTCAAGTAAACATATACCAAACTTGACTGTAGAACATAAACTTTTCTATAGCTGGAGAGCTGCTGAAGTGTTACACTCTGAACATGAGAGAAAATGGAATTAGAGGCTCCTGTTAGATTAATACAGTTTTTACAATATATGTCCAAATAACTTCATTTTGTATCTTAAGTCTAGATCCATATACCATAAACCCACATGTACACTATCATTGTTTCTAGGTAATTGCACATATTTCCACCTGATGGTTAATTCCATGAATGCCTAGTTAGGTCTCTGTCACCTGTATGACCCTTGTCCCACTTCCTTGAGACAGTTTGTGTTAAGGTATGATACTATGTGATATCCCCAACAAGGCAGTCTGTGTAAAGATCAGTCCCTGTGCAGTGCTTTCTCCCTCTAAAGGCTACGAACCGTGTATCGCTACCAGTTATGAGTTGCCACATGACTCTTTCTAAGCAAGCACATACATTATGAAAGTCAAAGCATTATAGAGAAAACACACAAAAATCCTAATAAAGACATTTAAACACACACTAAAAACAACAGAAGTCATCCTTCAGTCTAATGGGGTGCTAGTAAGCCAGTTTTCTAAGCATTCTGAAGGGGTCCTGACTCTTTGCTGCACCCTAAAGAAGACCCTGAGTCAGTTCAAGCTAATCCTGTTGTGCCAAAAACCTTTTCTTTTTCTTAGTCTCTGGAAAATCCAGATTGGACCAGAATATATAAACCTCTGAAGGGAATGGTGCCTTTCTGGAGGTCTTGGTGATTCACCTTAATTATCGTCAATTATTTTTAGTTCCTGGAGGACTTGTTGTAAACCTCCCCCATATATGAAAAATCATACATAGACTATTTGTAGATTTAATACAATAGCCCATCAAAGCTACTGCAAGGGATTTCAATATCTGTCGTGGACACGTTCTAAGGTTATATAGGTGTTAGGTTGTGAGTAATCTTCATGATTTCCCAGAGTTCAGAAATATTTTTATAAAAACGTTGTTTTAATATTTAATAATTTCCAATGAGAAACTATTCATTATAAAGTGCAATTCTGCTTTGTGAAAAGGTTATGTATAAATGATATCACCTTACTTAATAAATGTTTCCTGTGTGTATTCAGTCATGCCTGCTTGCATTAGTAGTATGTATATATTTTTTAAAGCCACTGCTTTCATTACTGCCAGCCATGGAGAATCAGCACAGTAGTGGGAGAATTGACATTTTTTTTCTAGCTTTGATGACATTGTCTTTAAATTATGTTTCATTGTTCCTCTGCAATCTCAGTAAAGATGAGTTGCATCAGATTATACCTGAAAGAAAAACTTTGAATTGCAGAAACTTTATTAGAATCCCAAAAGGACAGAGGACTGGATCCTGGATTAAGTTTGCAGGTCAGGCAATTGATATCAAATATTTAGGAGAATATTATTTATTTTTTACATGTTTTCTGAGCAGATTTAATGTGGTATAAATGAGGAATGTTAACAATAGCTGGGAAAAGAGCAGCTGGGAATAGCCTTAGTATTTTGGAGAAAAACAAAAACATGGAAGTGACTAAATGTGTCAGTCACCAACCACTTCGCTCATTTTGTATGCTGCACTTCCTCCATCCTATTTCATTTGTTCTTTGTCTTCAGATGTATGCTGAGGGATCTGTCTTCCTGTGTGTCGTCTTTGCCCAACACATTTTGGGCACTACTGTAATAGTACAAATGTAGTAATCCTAGATGCACAATTGTGCAATACATCCTCCAGTGGCAGTGGAGTCTTGAGGAATGGCTATTGGGCTATAATTAGATGCAACTTTCTATATAATGGTGACACTTTGAAATGATATACAAATGTATTTCTAATACTGAGTGTAAATAAAACTAAAGAATTAATAATATGTTTACAGTTTGTCAGTGGTTGAATGCAGGGGTGAAAGTAACTTAACATTTCTTACAGGTACTGTCCTATTGGAACCCTGGTCCCTGCCAGCTCTTTAAATAGATCCCTGTCAACATCTGCTGCAGCTCAACCAACTCTTGTCAAGCGCTGTGCACAAGGGCTCACCCGCTTATTTTCACCCATGATTGAATGCTTATAAGATGTTAAGGTTTTTTTGCAGTTATTAAGCTAATTGACTTTTAGGGCTAAATAATGTTTGCATAAACATTCTTTGGGATCGTGCCACTAGCGCTTGGGAAAGGACCTCCTATACATAAGTTGCTTCCTTTCTGCACATAACACAGTCATCCACAACTGCTTCTAAATATTACAAGAAGGGTTGTTTAACTGAATTTTAATAGGTAATTGTCTAACTGCTGAAAATCTCAGTGGTTACACGCTGCGGGCTCTGCAGTATAAAGCTTTAATGAGCGTATTGGTTAAATGATTAGTTAGTTATACTCTAACATCCCTAATTACAAGTATTGAAGTTCCCCTAGTGCAGTGGTTTTGAACACTTCTCTATTTGTGGACCCGTAACAAATTTCAGATGGAGGTACAGACCCCTTTGGAAATCATAGATGTAGCTTGCGGATCCCCAGTTGAAAACTATTGCTCTAGCTCAAGAAGGTGAAAGAAGATTATTCTTCTATTTAAGGAGTACTTTCATATCATTTTTTTGTTGTTGTTTTTTGTTTTTGTGTATTTATTTGAGGTCTGTTGCCAGTTTAATGTTTACTTAATAGCAGGTTATTTTTGGATAATGGTCAAAGAGTAGATTATATACTCAAGTAGAGTAGATCATAAACTTGAGTAGAGTAGATCATCTACTTTTACAATCTCTGAAGCTTTAGAGGTGATTGAAGCATATCTCTTTAGTG